TTTTTCTTGAACAATATTCTTATGAAAGATTTCTAACCTCAAAAGTCATCCAAATATACTAACAGATACGTTTCTATTTTTCTTGAACAATATTCTTATGAAAGATTTCTAACCTCAAAAGTCATTCAAAACAAAGGAAATAACGAAGTGGGAATCTAGCTGTCGAATGCAGAATTCCTATCGATTATGTTCATTATCATCATGGAAGTTCATTGAACCCAAATCACGAAACTTGCCACGTGATTAACTCGTAAAGGCAACTCGGAACAATTCCCATTCAAAATTTGTCACCGTAAAATCCGAGTTCAAAGCAAGTTTCCCGATCCAGTGTAATTTTTACCATTTCCCGAGTCGAGGAGTGCCTTTCGTCCCGCCTTAGTCCCAGAGGGATTAGATTAATATCGCGGCTGCTGGAAGCTCGATATTCAACCTGACGACGGAAAAGCGAGCTTTGAACTCGTTTCCGGATGAAGCGGTATTAAGCGAATGAAGATTAAAAATTAGTGGAATAGGGTTAGCTTACCATCAAAAGACTTCCTTTTCTATTCCAAAATTTCTTACCTTCCCCTTTACTTATCATTTTTATTAAATACTCACAATGTGCGGTATACGGTGTGGCGTCTTGACACTCTGGATGACTCTGAAAAACAAGCAGAAATTATTTATGTAAATATAACAACGTTCGCAAATAAACAGAAATCCGTAAAATATATTCCGAGCACGAAAGGTCCGGTAATTAGTCAATTGAGCTCGCTAATGAGCAGATATTTAATTAGATTACTCTTAATCATTCGATACGAGAAGGATAAGATGTACCGAGAAAAAATGTCGGATGAAAAGTAACTGAATCGTATCGAGGACGGTTCGAAATCCTTCTCGAGCGTGTCCTTTTTAGGAAGAACAGGCAAAAATCCACATTCCCGAACGTGGCACGAATTACTCGAGCGATCGATGAATCTGATTTCGAACGAAACAAGCATAGCCAGCGGCGGTGATTGCCACCTTCAACCTCAGCGCAGCGAGTTAATTTTGTTTGTCGAGGCTGCTCAAAGAAATTTTCTCCATCCTTCTTTGAGGAAAATTACGAACAACAAACTGCCTTTCCTCTCCACGGACACGGGAATCGAATAAATAACGGCGTTGGAATATTTACGGATTAAATATTCTGCGCAATTTACTTTAACGTGCAAATTTTAATCTACGGTCTTTTCAAGTTTTAAACGGCGTTCTGATTACGTTCAAAATCAGTAAATGCGTACAAAAATACGATGCTTAAAATGATTTGACGTATCAAAAAAAAGTATAGTTTTAACTAGAAAACGTGAAATAAATATGATTATAAAAATATCACGTTCCCCGTGAGGTATCTCGTGCATGAAGATAATTACCAATTAGCGACGAAGTTCGTTAATGACTCAGCTATTTTTACTCTATCGCCATTTCCTCCACTCGATAGGAACAATAACCTCGCGTTTTTGCGCGTTTTTCGCCTGTATTTGTACCATTTCGAGCGTTTTGACGTTTTAATTGGACGGTCACTTGACCGTTGAGGAACGTTTCGAACGATAGTCCAACAATTGCTGAAAAATCCAATTAGACCCGGCTAACGAAAGTCCGTCGAGAGGATCTTCATCGTGAAGCCACGCGTGCACATCGATTTCATACAGTTCAGCAGCGTAATGCTACCACCAACAATTCCCTCTCTCTTACCTGAAGCGGAAAACACGATTGCTCGTCGCAGCTAAGACCGAGAACTATAAAGCAATTACTTTTATTCCCGTTGGTAATCGATTGCTTACCTACCGGCGACTACGTGACCTGTATCGTTACACTAACCTGCACACAATGCTCCTCCGTTCTACGCCCTATCTCACGTTCCTCTCGTATTTCTGTATCGCTCGCGAGTCACCTTTCGTCTTATCGAATTCCCAGTCTGGCGAGGACTGGCCGTTTTCGGGCGATAATAAAATCCCGAACTAATATCCGCGGGAGACTCTGAACGTTCGAAAGCTTCCGCAAAGCGAAGCGGAAATCTACGGAATCTATTTCTGACGACCAGCTGGACACACGCGCTGCGGAGTTATTGTTTTTCCGCGTAATCGAATCGGAAGCCTGGAACGTGTCCAGTGGTTAGCGATAATTAAATTGTCGATTGTTCTTCTCTGAAAATACAGACTATTTCGACAACGATGCGCTCACAGGATGAACTCTTCATCCACTCGTGGGTGGTTAATAAAAAAAGTTTGAAGCAAGAATCGCAGGGTGTATGTAGATGTGGGCGAAAGAATAATTCGAAAGTGGTTTGTCTTCGAAATATTTTATTATTTCGAGCGTCAAAGTGCAAAGAGTATACAACGGGCAGTTTTCGAACGGAAAGAAGAAAGCTTTCGCGTCGCGTTATTAACCACGCGTACACGCAATTCGGAGTAATTAGCGGGCAAGATTGAAGCTGTTTCATGGAGATACGTAGGCAATCTCGCGCGTGGTAATGGATCCGCGAGCACCGCTTGTTGCGGGTAATGGGACCAGGTCGAAACTTTGCAGGACGTCGCACGACGAGCGTGTAACAATTTCGCGACAAGCATCGGCGTTGCGAGATAATTGTATCACGTATATGCACCGCGCATCGACCGTTTAAAACTATGCTAACACTGCGCCACGAACAACACATTACATCGTTATTAGAAAAAATTGCGTGCTTTAATCCATCAGCAGTCTTGAATCCACATTTTCAATTACTTCCGGCAGCTAACAAGTTATGTACGTTTCAGCATTGCCTAAGCACATAATGAAGTGCAACAAAGAGACCGGTAAATCAAATCCCGCCTCGGAAATTGTTTCACGGCAACCTCTCCATTATTATTAAACATACCTGCAGAGAACGCGTTGCAATTTTCCGTAAGCGGTACGAGTGGCACGTGCTCGAGATTGCGGGTTCAAATTTGGAATTTGGTAGCGGGAAATTTGAAAGTAGTTAGCCTGGCCGGATGAAAACGTTCTAACGTAGGTACGTGTGCCCGAGGCTACGATGCAACCTGCTGCGTCTGTAATTACATCGCTGAACCGTACGGATGGTCGTGTACGCGGTAATGGATACACGGACTACAGTTGTAGCGGATAATGGCGTCGCGTATGAGCCCGGTAAAACGGCGATACACCACGCACCGTGGATGAAGTCTGCGGGCAACAGACTGAAAAATTCATTCGCGGGCATCGAGCTCGGGAACACAATTCACCGTTCGTGACTAAACATCGCCGCACGGTTATGATGCTCTTGCTGAAACCTGCTTCGATAATTACTGGTTTAGCGATGTTTGGAGATCGTTACGCGGCTAGATTATTAAATTTTATGGAGATCGTGCGGTGCTGAATATGCGGAAAATAATACGTTGCCGAAGACCGAATAATGGCTGCCGGTTATCGAATTAGAATTAGAAGCATTCTTTTTTTTTTTGGGTTACATTTGATATTCTACCGGTGGTCCGACCATGTTATTATTCTATTCCGCAGCTTTCGGAATCGATATTTTTGTGACGGGATTTTGACGAAATCGAATCAGAGGGAATTTACAGGCATTCATATTTATTCGCGTACCGGCTGGTACCGAAACCCAGGCTCATTGTTAGATTCGTGCTGACGCTCGTGCACGTGATAATGGATACGCGTGCCAAGAATGTCCTAGTTAATAGCAGCGAAGAGTATCCTGAACGGTTATTCGAGGATGTTACACGATAAAGGAAAAAGCCAGAACACGAAAGTAAGAAAATGTAATTTCGTCACGATTTTACCGCTTTCTCGATCTCATAGTTCCTCTACACCCAACGTTTTATTTTCTTTAAACGTATTTGCATATTCAATTCGCGGAATTATCGAAATTATTCGTGTTCGCGCTTAATGTTCGTTAATTTGAAAGAAGATTAAAGAACCCGATTGGTGTCCAGAAAAGAGGCACTCGCGTCGAAAATGGCGTACTCGATTCGGCAATTAAAGCAGCGGCAAACGGACGATAACAAAGTTGCCTCGTTTTATGCAAACGATCGTTGGCAAAGGGAGGGAATGCTTTACGACCGGCTGTTTCCTTCGGGAGTTTCAAACAACCGGGGAAAAAGAAGGAGTAATCCGTTATCGGACGACTTTGGCTCGATCCTTCGCGAAGATGGCTACGTCTAGCAGCTTGAAAAGAAAGACGTGACCTGAGTCGAAAGGGAGCGACAGAGAGAACTGGATTTTCTCGTATTTTGCTAAGAGAATAAGGATCGCGGCTCTTAGTCTAAGACGGATTTACTTTAACTTCGCTCCTCAAAGAATCTTTTCGCTCCTTTCGCGAATCTCCTGATAAATGGGTCATTTCGGCACCGAAACGGAAACGTGTTCCATCTCTCTGCTATATCTCAACTTTTCATCTCTTCTTTATGTACGAAAAGTGTACTTTAAATTATGGTAAATAAACAATAATATATCTCTCTTATTTTTCATCGTCATAGAGTATGTTATTGGTTCGTGAGTTCTTTAATTTACATTAGGAAAATTATCAAGGTGAAATGTGTAATTTTTGTCGAGACGTAGAATTGTATAAATTAATTTGTATTTCATTACCTTCATTACTATGTCATTGGTTCTAGAGTTCTTTGTTTTAAATTACAAAAGTTACCAAGGTGAAATGTGTAATTTTTGTCGAGTCGTAGAATTGTATAAATTAAATTGTATTTCACCCCTTATACATTTATTGTACTTTCAAAGTAACATCGAGCGTAATGCTGAAATGAAGAGTGCACTAACGGGGGTTATCGTTGAAAGGGCTTTGCAAGGACATTGATCCTTAAAGGTTTCTTTTGAAAGCGTTCCTTGAAGAGTTCCTTGAATTTTCATTAAGACGGTTTTTTTTAGGTCACGAGGTAATACGTCGAAGCTAATCTCGCGGTTGAATCGTGGGAAGAGGGAGATGCAATAAGAATGAAGCCCCTCGAACGATTACGGGCGAGCAGGGGTGTGCTCCGTTATCACTTCCGGCCGATCGCGTACGCTATCGAGATACCGCGATCGAGCTTGAAATAAAGTGGAAACCCCACCGATAAGCTCGTGATACCCTGTGTTGGTGTCTCCGTTGTCGCATGCTTGTCGATTAATGATTAAAATGTGCTTCGAGCGTGACGTAAATCCTCCGCAGCATCGAACCAACTTCTCGATCCGATCAATTTATAACCCCGTAATTATTTGACTCCGATTGTCGAGTTTAAAAAATTATCCGATCGGAAAAATTGATTCGAAATGTTTTTATCGAGACGCGAGTAATCAAGTTTCACGTATTAGTTTTTAAATGTATTTAATTGGAATTTATTTGGAGCTAAAAACATTTTACCTCGATTTTAACTGAAATTCGAGGATGCATGTTTATTTCAAAATAGATATAGCAGTCATTTTTTAAAACAAGAGTTTATTGTTAATTTAACATGGGGTAGTTGTGTATTAGATTGATCAGATGATGAGAAGTAGTCAGTGTAACAATGGAAACGAAAGGGTTAACCCTTCGAATTCGATAAGTTTGAAACATCAACCCTGCACCCGTAACACTTTTATATCCTCTCTCGAAAACGCGATTTTCTCGCGTTCGCCAACCGAGTTACTCGAATAACTGAATTT